ATATATATATATATATATATATATATAGCTTTAAGAGGGTTATGCCTACTGTAAATTAAGGAACGCTCGACCTCGACACGTGATATCGAAATGGGCGAAATCGCCTCTTGATGTCACTAACTATCCTGAAATCCTGAAATCCTGAAGGTGGCATAGATGGAGGGTTGGTTGAATCGATTAGATTTGCCCAAAACTCAGAGAAAGAAAGGATTTTCAAAGAAAATCCTGGCGAAGAGCAACAGCCTCATCTTTAATAGGATGAACCCTCGGCAACATGGCCTCCATACCTTGCTCCCGCCTACCAAGGCACATTCCTTCTAGCTTCCGAATGCCGTCGTCGGGTCTGAGTCACCCACGCTTCAATGCGCGATAATCTTCATGTCGAGAACGGATTAATCCATGTGAAACGACGACTCGTCGCCCTTTCATTTTACAACGGTAACGACGAAGAAATCGACTGATCCGGTTGAGAGGGCGCGATAAACGGGCAAAGCGCCCATTGAGACTCCGAATTTTATTGCATTTGTGCAGACGTCAACGTTATTTGGCGGAACGCCGAGGGGATCGTCTCCAACAATCCCAGATCATTTGAAATTTGGTCTCCGAGTGAGATAAAATGATAATTTCCTTCTATAAAAATTCTTAAAAAAGAGTGCCGTAAAAGCATACTCAGCATGACGTGAAGAACCCTAATACCTCAATGCGAAATGACTTTTCTCCGATCCTCCAGCACACAAATGCCCAAATCAACTCGATGAAAAGTTGGCCTTCCTTAATTGAGTGCGTGACTCACCGGGACGTCGGATGCGACGGGTTCTGACCGGTTCCTCGCGGAGATGGGAAATAAATCTGCGGGGACGAAAATAAATTAGTGGAACAGGCCTGAGTCCGATGATCCTGACTTTTTTTCGCGAAGAAGTTGCTAATTTAGGAAATCCATCAGATCGTATTTCATCATTTTTTAAAAATAACATCCACATGTGGTCGTTCTCGTGTTAAAGCTTTATCTTTCAGGAATGAAATTTCGTTTCTCCTGCTAGCGACTCGCGGAAAGAGCAAAATGTGGGATTCCTATCCGCTCTTCAGCCTTTATTTCCCAATTTCTTATTCATTGTCTGAATTTGGCTTTCAATTGCTTCCGTGGACTGGTCAGAACGCCGTCTCGAATGCCCTGGATCACGTGCAGCCATGTCCTTACTTGTACGGGCCACATCCGCAACATTAACATACTTCTTCTTATTCGCAGTTATTGTTTACACGCATTGAACTTAAAATCTGCTCTAAAGGTTTAGGTTAAAATATATCTCAAGTGATAGCAGCAAGTCTCGTACAAAATACCCGAAATATCTCGGTCGATTGAGCAGAAATTCAGCGACTACTAACCTGTGATATCTGAATCTTGCAAGACGAAGAGGGACAGGGCGTTGAGGGACAAGAGCACCGCCGACTCCACGACCGAAGACGCCATCGCGACTGAGCGAACCCCGAGGCACGAGACAGTCAATTCCTGCGAGGAGAGGTCGCGGCGTGACTGGACGGATTCCAGCTGCAGGGATTTTGTTGCTTTGGGAAACAGACGAGATGGTCAGAAAATGTGATCATACCGATCCCGGTTCTAAGAAATCGTTGTAAAATCAGGACAATGAGGCCAGATATCATTACTGGATTTTCCAGATATGCTAAACCTAAACTTCATGTAGCACGGTTTTGGGCCATCATTACTTCCAGCCCTATTGGCTCAGAATGCTTGGTTCAGGACTCGGCCAATGAATGAATGTAAATGCAATAGAAATCCTCTTTATAGGAAAAAAAAATTCACAGGCGGATCACTTGGTTTCTCATCACCTTTTTGAAATGCTCCATGGCGGACTCGGCCATGAATAAAAAGTGAATAAGCCTTGTCATGAAGGGGGAGCTACGCTCTTGCCCCTCCCCCATTCCTTAGAGAGGCCCTCGTTGATAGCGTTTTGCTATCAACGTTTAGCTAATAACACTTCCAGTTTTCCTAATCGATTAGGAACTCGGGCTCAGTATGATTTAAATTAAATTTGTTTGGTTAATCTGTATTACATTTAATCATAGTCGTCGCAACCAAACTGTTCTGGTTTTATTGACGACGACATAACGGACCACGTGGCTGGTCTTACCTTTCCTCTTCAAACCACAGATTCATCACCTATGGTGACTGTACCAACTATCGAATGGCGATTTCTTCTCATATTTGAACTAAATCGTTTTCTCTTCTGCCCAAGCGCTAGGAATCTCTCTGCAAGGCAAAGGAATAACGAAAGAATATTATGAGGTTTGAAATTAACCTCAGTGAGGTAGATATGGTTGCTGTATTTTCTGCTGTAAAGGCTATTAATGACGATGCCGTCCACGTCACGTTCGAGATCCCACACACCGTTTTCCATCAGATCCTTGACCTCGTGAAAGGCGGATTCCCATTGATTCACGTAGAGGAGGAGATCGACCTGTCGGGGGAGAGCATACATTTAAGCATGAGGTTGCTCGAGATGCCTGCATAGGCGACAGCGACATAAGTGGAGGGCTGGTTGAATCGATTCGATTCAACCAGTCTATCTTAATTCGCAACCACAACAAAATGAAAAAAGGAAGAAATCAAAGAAAAACGATTCATTTTGTGTGTGCCTAAAACAGAGGTTTTGCAGTTTTTCATTCAAATAATTTCCAAGGGGAAAAAAGCATTTTGTAGCTAGGACTTTCTTCTTTCATTATCGGTAACTGCCAAAAATATCCTTCAAAGCATACCACCTAAAACGCACGTTGAAATGAGTACGACTTTTAGGCCACCTTGTATATTAGATAAACAAACTATCATGTAAGATTTTTCAT